TCCAAAATATTTTTTTTCTGCGTATGCTTTAATACCTCGCGGCTCTGCCGCTCATTTAATTATAAGATTTTGGGGCCAAAATTAGAATAAAGCCTTAAAATTAATTATGGCCGCAGTTTACTTACTTAATCCTTTAATTTCTCTGCGGCCATACAATATCCTACCATGGGCCAATTTATTTATAATTACCAAGAAAATCGTCTCTGGCTAAATAATCAAGAGATAACCAACCAAGATTATAATGAGAGAAATCAACTTTATTTTGTGCTGGGTCCATCTAATCATTGACTAAAATTCTACCAACGACGGGGAGATTATTACCGGGCCGTTGCTTATAAAAAAGTGAATCCGGACGGGACCATTAACTACTTTCAAAAGGATTTGCCTACCATGCCAAAACGACGGCGACCGCCGCTGGTGAAATTTTCTTTTCAGCCGAAGGATGAATTCCGTTATTACGAAATAAGCGAAAATTACTGATTACCTTTTAGAGTAAAAAATTATTAATCAATTACTAATTACTAAATAATTAGTAAAAGTTAGCGTAAATATTAAATATGAGGTTAACTAACTAGTTATATAATGGTTAAAATATTGTAAAAATTTTGTGGGCCTTTTTTTAGTTGGGTTGTAGTTGGTTATTAGTTAACTAACTTAATATTAATTTAACAAATAATATTTATTAAAATAATATATATGAAAACATTAAGCATTAGTATCCAAGATAATACTTATCGCGAATTAAAAAGAATAACTAATCCGGGCGAGGTTAGCCAATTTATTGATAAATTAATTAGCCAAGAAATAGCCAAAAAAAAGCAACGACTAATTGAAGGCTATAAAAGAGTAGCCAAAAGTAAAAGTCGCCGCGAGGAGGATAAAATTTGAGATGGAGCAGTTGGAGATGGAGTCAAATAAGAAATTCCCTCAAAGAGGAGAAAGACGAGAAACTAGTTTTGAGTCTTCGCACCCCAAACGGGGTGAAATTTATTGAGTAGATTATAATTATAAAACCCAAAGGGGAAGAGAAATCAAAAAAACCCGCCCTTCATTAGTGGTAAGTAATGATATCCAAAATGAGTTTGACGAGCAGATTATTGTTTCGCCCTTAAGCACTGAAGACCTGGATCAAGTGGAAGAATTTGAAGTTTATATTGCTAAAACCGCTGAAAATGGTTTAGAAAAAGATAGCAAAATTTTACTTAATCGTCTACAAACTATTGATAAGATGGTCCGCTTAAAGGTTGAGAAAGATTTTATCGGCTCGACTAGTCCGGAAATAATGCGACAGGTAGAACAAGTTTTAAAATTAGTTTTGGTTTTGCCCTAAAAACATGCTAGTTATATATAAGTTAACTAAATGGTTATTTGTTAACTGGATGGTTAACTACAATATCGTTAACGGCAAAAAAACCATTATAGCGGTAGCGGTAAAAATAGTCGCGTTTTTGTTTAGGGACTGTGGAGAAAAAATTTTCCCGGTCTTCTTCATATCATTTAACTAAGCAAGAACGGCAGAGATATTGATATTTGAGGTTTTTAAGTTGGGATTGATCGCTGATGTTGGCTCAAAAGGCGACACTATTGAGGGGGGATCATTGTTGTTTGACCCGGTTTCATTTGCGTTGGATGAGTTGGTGGCAACGAGAGCAGGGGAGGAGGGGGGATATTGTTGGCATGAGGGTTGATTTATATAATATAAGAATATAATAATAATTTTAGTAGTCAAGTTAACCATTAATAAATATATAATAAAATTATAATATAGTTGATTAAACGATAGTTAAATAGTTGAAATATTAAAAATAACTAGTTAAATGACAACCATTATAGCATTTATTTCTCAAAAAGGCGGAGTGGGAAAAAGCACTCTATCTCGTGCCTTGGCAACTGAAGCCAGTAAAGCAAAGATGAAAGTATTATTAGCAGATTGCGACCCTCAACAAGGAACTAGTCACAACTGAAACAAAATGAGAAACGATAAAAAAATTGTTAGCCGAATGTTTAATTCGCCCTGAGAAATTTGACCCTTAATTAATGATTACAATTTAGTGATTATTGATGGACCCGCCCGGACTAGTAAAAGCACCTTAGAAATTGCCACCAAGGCGAATCTAATAATCCAGCCAACCGGTCCCAGCGTAGATGATTGTGAACCGGCTGTGAAAGAATTTCATGCCTTAAAAGAAGCCGGCATCGAAAAAAAAAAATTATTGTTTGTCTTGAATCATTTAACTACCACTGGTGAGGAAATAAATGCCCGAGCATATTTAACTCAGGCTGGTTATTCAGTGTTAAATACTGGTTTAACTGAAAAGGCTTCTTATCGGCAGGCACAAAACCAGGGTTTAGCGATTACGGAAGTTATTTATGAGAAATTAAAAAAGCAGGCTCAAAAATTAATCGATGAGATATTGACTAAATTATAGAATACTAGTAAATAGTATTCTAATTAATAAAAAAATAAGAAAATTGTAAATATAAATCATATGAATAAGTGAGATAAAATAAAAAGTAGAAAGCCTAAAACTACCATGCCAACTCCGCCCACTGAGGCCAGCCGTAATCTCTCCCAAGCAGAAATTCCCTACGAAAAGATGGATTTTCGGCACTTTCGTAATCGCAGTAATCGAACAGTTCTTTTTGCTTGTAAAATCACCCCAAATTTAGATCAGACCATTCGTCGTCTATCCCTCCAAGAAAACCGCATGATTGTAGAAATATTCGAGGAAGCACTTGATTTTTATTTAAAAAATAAAGGAATAAATATGAATGATGATAATATACATAAGAGAGAGAGAGAGAGCAAAATTGGAGCAAACCTGCGAAAAAATAAAGCAAATGCTATCTAAAAAAAATGATTATGGATAATTTTTTTATTTTATAGTTAACTAACTTATAACTAAATGGTTAATAATTAGTTATATAATAAGTAACATAATCTCCTAAAACTGCGATCTAACAAATTATGTAAATTAAGAAAGTAAATATGTCAATAACAAAATCTTCAAAAGATACAAAATTTTCAGACAATTATAACGAAATAATTAAGA